GGACCAGGCCGGGGCCGGGGCCCGGGCGGTGCCCGAAGCCGCCAACCACGCTCCGGCCCCGTCAGCTCGCAGCGTTACTCGCTGGCCTAGAGCTACGACCGTCCTCCCAGTTCGAGTCCTGTCGTGTCTGTATTTTATATTGTTCCTGTATTTCACTGTACACACTAAGACGATTCCTCTCAGCTTCCTCTGGTGAAAATAGCAGGAGTATCCTGCCTTCAAAGTTCTCGCGGTCCCCAGTCTCCAGTAAGTGAAAGCTAGGCCTTGTCAGCCCGCAGTGGTCCTGGCCATGGAAGCGGTCAGTTCAAGATGGCTGCTGTGCAATGTCTGAGCAGGATAGTCTGAACGTACCTGCTAACTTACCAGCTTCAATGTGTGAGGGGACAAACAGGGAAAAACAAAAACCAAAACCGAAAAAACAGCCCAAAAACCCAGCAGAAAATACATCAGAGTGGTGAAGCACTAGGGAGCACAGAAGCTAAAAAGGAATTTTAAACTGGCCAATTACATTAAAAAAAAAAACAAAAGTACATATACAACTACAGATATCTTAAAAACTGGAGCTTTTAAGTCTGGATAAGAACAAAACTAAACAATATACATCATTATTTTAAAAGATAATAGAAGCTTGCATTTCTTTTCTAAGCTTTACCCAGATAAAAGTATACAAAATTCACTTTTCAAATATAGTGCCCTGCCTCTTTAAGCCTACTTTAAGTTTGTTAAATAATGTTGATATTCATGTACAAATTAAACTTTAAAGATACAGTCTTCTATTTAAAGTTATGACAAACAAATTAATGGAAACTGTAAGAGCTGAAGTCAGAAACAGTCCACCTTCCCTTGGCTTCCTCCAGGCTCACCAACATTTCACCCGCACAGAAGTTCTCCTCTCACATCGCCAAACAGATCAACTACATTCACAGCACCTCATCGTGCCCAGCAAATTATTTTCTTGGCAGCTTTAGATACCTAGGCAGCACACTTCCACGGAGGTGCATACCCTCCAACAGTAATGAGCCAAAGACTTCTCTCGCCCGGATCTGACCCCTTGTGCATGCATGCACACACACACCCCCACACCCACACCCCTCCCCCCCTTTAATTTCTGATTAGTTAATTGCAATTCATCAAGTCTCTGACCACACTGCAGAAGTCTCAGTACGGCCACACTGCTTTGGGTGGCTGGGCTGAACTTTGAGCGTCAGCTCGCAAAGCCGCATGACTCCAGTCACACATTGCTTAAACGGGGGTCAGTTCCCACTTGTACTGTAGAAAAATCTGTCGATTCTCTATTCGCTAACCCACAGTTGGAAAAGCCATACCAACCAGAGCCCTTCTCTTCACTGTTCTGTACTAGGACTGGTCCAGTCCGGATCTACATCAGATTATGGTGCTACGCTTTAAAAACTAGGCTGGATTACTGCTTACTAATTTGACAAATCTTTTCCCTACCACTTAAAAAAAAAAATAATATCTGTGCTCAACAGAAACACTGCTGAGTTGAGGTTTCAAAATACTAACTTATTAGTTTTGCCAGCTTTCCTTCAATAACAGCTGCTGCCGACAGTCACAGCTGGGTTCCATGCAACTGTAAAGGCACAGCAACAGCAATGTGGAAGAATACGGTATAAATAAGAGTACAGAATAAAAAATGAGGTATTTTAAAGGAAAGGAAGGGCAGAGACAGAAATCCCATTTCTTAATTGCCTTTTACCTTTCAAAATATCATTCTGTCCATAAATGTAGTTTTCCTTGTAATAAAAAAAGCTACCACTTGTCTCTGTGTAACTCACATCTTATATGGTAACAGCAATAAAGTAATAGGTACAAAATTAGTATGAATTTTAAAATTCACATGAGAAAAAGCAGTTGTGGATAACTTGAATGTCATGATCCCTAATCAAGCTCAGATTTTCCTTATGTTGAGGAACTGGAGAACCATTGTTTGTAGAGCTCTTAATACTTTGAATTGGAATGGTTCCAGCCTTCAGTTACGCTGAATATAATCAATGTTAAAACTCACACTGGTTTGATGCTCTAAAAATAAGCTCATTTTCTTCTTGCTTGCCTGGTATAGCAGACAGCAGAGTTGAAGGTGCTGAGGAGGAATTGCCTCAGGATGCTATAAAGCAATTTTTCATGCATAACAGGAAGGGGGCAGCAAAACAGGGGGCTCAAGTATATAGGAACTGCTCTGGATGCCTGTGGGTAGGAAAAAAGTCAGTAAAACAGCAGACATGGTCATTAGGAAAGGCTGAGGGGCTGGGCTTGTTTAGCCTGAAGAAGTCTGCGAGGGGACCTTATAAATGCCTCTAAATATCTTAAGGGTGGGTGTCAGGAGGATGGGGCCAAGCTCTTTTCAGTGGTGCCCAGTGGCAGGACAAGGGGCAATGGGCACAAACTGAAGCACAGGAAGTTCCGTCTGAACATGAGGAAGAACTTCTTCCCTCTGAGGGTGACGGAGCACTGGAACAGGCTGCCCAGGGAGGTGGTGGAGTCTCCTTCTCTGGAGATATTCAAGACCCGCCTGGACAAGGTCC